GCAAGTTGGCCGGAGGTGTTCGTCCCTCTCCCTTATCTCCATTGCTTCTCTGTACGCCGTCCCTATCATTGTTGGATCTTCCCAGGGTGCTACACTGTAATTTGTCAGTCATAGAAGGTAGGCATTGTGCTATTCCCCAATTAAACAACAGTACTCCGGCCACGCATTCTACTAGCCCCTAATTAGTGATTACAGTGTCGATGCTTTCAAATTAAACTGTACAAGGAGCAGATGCTTTCAAATTACTTCTGACTAAGGATTTACTACTTGTCTCTTATTCTGTCTAATAGATTCATATGAAGTAACATTTATGAAATAATATAAATTAGTTCCTTGTCTTTCATAAAAGGTATTGTGCATCGAACCAAAATATTATAAATTTCGGAACTGTTACGAAATAACATAGTACTTGAGCAGCTAGGCATAATTGATTCCTATGCTATTTTCTTGTAGCTTTACTTATTACACTGACTGTGTAGGCATAGCTGAAAACATTGGATTGTTTGAGTTTTATTTATCAGTGTAGTATTGTGAAGAATAAATTCAATTGATTGCTTTGATCTTTCACGTCAACATCTTACTCATTGCTTTTATGCCGCAACAGGGTCTTGAAATGGATACAAATGGATGTTTCAGTGATTTGCTATGGATGCCTCACAGCCAACACAAAATATCCAAAACTTGGGAAAATGTGAGTATCCTTTAAATTCGCATGTCATCTGTTAGACTTAGCGATTAACTAAAGACTAATTGTTGTGTGTATTGATGCAGCCTAACATTTGCTTGAATGTACGGTGTCATCGTGTTGGCATCCCATTTGACCCCCTATGTACATCAGCTTTAGAGAACCTTGGTTTTTATCAGATTGCTAAGATGAGGAAAATCAATGTCGACAAATATTTGATATCGGCATTGGTGGAGCGTTGGCGGCCCGAGACAAACAGTTTTCACTTACCTGTAGGAGAAATGACCATTACGTTGCAAGATGTCAGTTGTTTGTGGGGGTTGCCTATCCATGGTAAACCACTTGTTGGAAAAGCTTATGCACAGTGGTCAGAAATAGTTGAGAGGTTGCTTGGGATTCCTGTGGATGAACAACACATGAAACAAAAGAAAAGGCGAAAAGGTGATGATAATGCTGTTGTGAGGAATTCACAATACTCTCTAAATCTGGGTAAACTGCGGGAACGCTTCCATGTGTTGCCAGATAATCCAATGGACAGGGAGATTAATTGGCATGCTCGAGCACTTGTTCTAGAAATTCTTGGCTCCATAGTCTTTACTGATACATCTGGAGATGGAGTGCCAGCTATGTATCTCCAATTTATGCAGGATTTAGGACAACCAACAGAGTATAATTGGGGAGCAGCTGCTCTTGCTCTATTGTATAGACAATTGAGCATAGGTGCTGAGAAGGAGAGACTAGAAATTTCAGGTCCTTTATTGCTGCTACAGTTATGGTCTTGGTCCCGTTTGCCACTTGGTCGCCCTAAAGTTATTTTTGAGAAGCCCAAAGAAGGAGAGGAACTTGATGAAGAGGAAGAAGAACAAGAAGTACACTTGGATTATAACCCTGTTTTTGGAGCAAAGTGGTGTGCTGCACATGCATTTGATGTCCCTCATAATGCTGGTATTTCATTCTCCTCACCAAATTTGTGTTGGCATAATTTGTTTTATGACAAACAATTTTATCAACTTGCAAATGAAATATATAGGTACTGAATATTATCGAAATCAAATTGACTTGATTCGAGAAGGTGCAGTTGGTTGGCAACCATATGATGATCTTCTGGAGCAGATGCCTTTTGAAGTTCATCAAGATTCTAATTGGTGGTTTGCTAGAGTACCACTCATGCAATTTTGGATTGTGGAGTTCCACTATCCATATAGGGTGATGCGACAATTTGGATTAAGACAACCCATTCCCCCTTCTCTTCCACGTGGCGAGGCAGAGGTTCGAAAACTTCGAAAAATTAAACATTCTGCAGGAAAATTGCATAATTGGGAGGAAGTCCACGCCAATTATGTTCAAGAATACAACCGTGTTGGTGCAAGAGTGTGGCCAGACGATGTTCCCTTCGATGAAGCTAGTTTACCTGATTACAGACATTGGTTCCAACAAAATGGTATGTACACAGTATTCTTCGATTCTCAATGCTTGGGCGGCCTAGATAAACCTATCCCATATCCTCGAGATAGCATCGAATGGACTGGCTACATGCCTAGTGACCGCCACTGGCTCGAATTGTAAGTGTGTGTTACATTTTTCATTGTATTATTTACAACATATAGTAATAAATGTGTCATGCAATATTTGTTTTGTCACTTGCAGGGGTTACGCGAGATAAAGAATGCCCCATGGGGTATTAAATGTGTTATTACTAGTGGATGGAAGAAGATAGGAAAAACTATACTGAGGTCCTGTGTAGGAAATTTGTTGGATTTGAACCTGGAGCCTAGGCTGCAAAGCATGCTTACTGAGGCTAGGTTACCACTGAATATTGAAGATATTCCATCTGATGAAGAGGTTTCTGATATTGCTAACCCACCAAGCCCCCCAAAAGAGAGCAACTCCGATGTGTTCAATGAACGGATATACTCCGGCAAAGGTTTTACAACATACCTTAAGGCTGGTGAAGCGATGAGAGATGGGGAACCGACAACACAAGATGTAGGTCAAGTTACCCAATAAACCAACTCGAATGAGCTTGGTAGAGCTAGTAGGCTTGCATAAAGGAGTTCGTAGCGACTAGTTGGTTAGAATGGCCATCTCTAGAGCGACCTGGAGGTGTAGCTGACCAAATCTTTTTGTATTTGGCCCAAAAAAACAGTTCAGGAATTTTGTTTCTGCTATGGCAGATATGGATTGTAATAGTTCCCCAAAAAAATATTTGTTACTCCTTATTTGATAAGTTCATCTCGAGTATAATTTTGTTTACATATAAAGGAAAATGTGGTACCACAAATGCAAATCATCAATCATGTCCATCCTTGATTGTATTATATGCCTTTCTAGTTACTCCACCTCTTCTCGCTGGATGATGTGCTCTTCCCCTGACATGTCCTCTTTCCATTGGATGATGTGCTATTTGGTTGACTCGGCCTCTTTCCTTTGGAAGATATGATCTTCGCTTGACTCGGTGGAATGGTCTGTCTCTGGCTAGACGATGTACCTACAGTGA